CCGCCCCGCCCCGCGCGTCCGGCACCGCCCCTGGGGCGGTTCTGGCGAGACCCGGGAGCTGGAGCCAAGCCCAGCACCGCCGGCTGGGCTGAGGAGGCGGCGGCGGGGTGCGAGCCGGGAAGTTTGGGCGACCGCTGCCGCTGCTGCGATCCGAGCCAGGCTCGAGCCCTGAGGACGAGGGAACGGGAGGACCGGCTCACGGACGCCCCGGGCCCGCAGTTGTCGTCTCGCGTCCTCCTGCCTGGTAAGGGGCAGGCTGCGTCTGGGAAGGGTGCGTCTCCCGCTGCCCCCGATGGAGGCCTGCATCCCGCGCCCGTCACAAACCCCGTCAGGGCGGAGGCGAGGCCCTTGTACCGGAGAGAGGGAGAGGGAGGTCGATGAGTTCTGGGGAGAGCAACGGGGAAACCTCCTGGGAGAGGTTGGACATCTTTCCCCTCCGAACCCCTTTACCCTCATTCTGTTTTCATCTTCTGCCCTGGGGCCTTATTTAATGCTTGTAACCCCATGGCCTAGTGGCTGGGCTGGCCTTTAAGGTAACTATACGAATAATAAACATCCTAACGGCGGGTACCACACCCTGGCTTTGAATTAGAGAAACCGAGGAGCAGATGGATGATGCGATTTAGTGGAAATAAGCATTAAAGCCCGCTGGCCCTGCGCCACTGTTTAGATGCGATAGTATTCCATGTGAATGAACATGACCGGGAGCTTCCAGCCTGTGCACGAGAGCACAGCTACTGCAGAGACCGCTGTGCGGTTTGTAGTATCCATCGACTCAAGCAATGATTTCCTGACATGTCTGTTGATTAAACAGAAATGCCATTTTTATTAAGAACGACACTCAACAGCTGAACAACCTTTCATGAATATATTTCCTCATCAAATAACCTACAAAAGAAGATGGAGCGTAAATTATTAATATATCTTTAAAAAATCTCATGAAATTAGAAGTTGCTCAGTGTGGATCAGCTTCTTAGTCAGCAGTAGGAAATCTGCCTCAACTCAGTAATGAGGCCTTTGGGTGTATTTCTGTATCTGTATCTGCACAGTACCATATATACTGTTAAGAGAGAGTGACACATTCAGTGAGAGTCTAAACTTATGTTATACAAGTTTTGAAAAAAAATTTACTTAAGCAAGATTTAACATAGTCTAATACTAGTGGATATAAATAAAATATGCAATACATTACCATAACAATACTTTGTGCTCTCCTGCTCCTTAAAAAGGGAAAGATTGAAGGTAATACAGGTTTCTTGTTTTTTACTCTTAATGTAATTTATAACCCTTGTTCTTTATTAACTTTGTAATTCATAACTTTTCTTACCAATTCTTTAAAATAATTTAGCTCAGTGTTTTCATTTTTTTTATCAAGGAAAAGTGTTTAAGCTTCTAAAATGTCATCAATCAAGCACCTCGTTTATGCAGTTATTCGTTTCTTACGGGAACAAAGTCAGATGGATGCTTATACTTCGGATGAACAAGAAAGTTTAGAAGGTAGTCACCTGTTCTTTGTGTTTGTGTTATAAGTAAAGACTAAAATAGCTATAAGTGCAACTTTATGATGTATTGTAATAAAATTAAGAGATTTTGTTTATGATCTATTGTAATAAAATCAAAAATATTTTCTCATTTCAAGGAGAGGCCTAACCATAAGGTTATCTCATTTCCATTCTCTGAAGCTTGTTTAGTTTGTTTTAATTAACAATAAATAAGAGGACTATTGTTCATTTATTGAACAACTACCATATATTAGAACTATGCTATTCTTATTATAGGGATTTTTTTCTTCACAGTGACTGTTAAGTTAGTATTATCCTCATTTAAAAAATGAGAAAATAAAGCCAGATGGATTAAGTAACATGATACAGCTAGTATATGACAGAACTGAGATTTGAACCCTGGTTCTTACTCTGAAGATCTTGTCTTCTTTTTCTAACAGGAAAGCATCTAGTTTAGAAATAGTATATGGGCCAGCCCATGGCTCACTCGGGAGAGTGCGGTGCTGATAACACCAAGGCCATGGGTTTGGATTCCATATAGGGATGGCCAGTTAGCTCACTGGGTGAGCGTGGTGCTTACAATGCCCCGTCAAGGGGTAAGATCCCCTTACTGGTCATCTTTAAAAAAAAAAAAAAAAAGAAATAATATATGAAAATAACTTAGTCATTGTAAGAGCCCTATGTAAAAGTCTATAATTATACCATTAATGAGCTCTGGTAAGTTCCTGTTTTGGGGCTTGAAATGAGAGGATTTTTACCCTTGTTTTATGTGAACTTTAAATGTTGGATTTGGTGACTTGTATGATCACATCATGAGTTTCCTTGACACCATCTTTGTGCTTCATGTTTATGCATTATAAAATTTAAATTCAGTGTAACCATAACAAGATAGAATTCTGCAGATGGGCTTGTGGAGATTCAGTGAGCCTACTTTCCCTGTGGCCTAAAGACTTAATTATTGCAATGAGAGTACATGTGAATTTCCTGTCTTGAAGCTGCTACTTCTATAAAGGGGACACATCTATTAATGTCAATGAGACTTCTCTTGCAAATATGCTTTTAGGAGGTGGAGATGAAAATTGGGCATTTGCTCTAAATCTGCTTGCAGTCTGGTGAGATGATGTCTTTCCAGGTGGCTGTGAGAGGAGCAGGTGATGCACAGTTGGAAAATGTTGCAATCAGTCCATTTATTATTAAGGTCTATTCATCCTCGTTGATTGTTGAACTATGTGAAGATAAAGGTGATTGGTTATCTAAGAAAAATGTTGGTTATGATTGCTCTGCAGCAACCAGATAAATGTAGTCATTTAATAAAAGATATTTCTTTTCTAATCAAAGACAGTTTAATACTTTTAAGGATCAGAAAGAAAATTGCGAGTTTTTTAAAAACCAGGATGTTATGTCCTATTTTTAGGATGTTATTCAGCCAAAAATATGTGCATTCAGCTGTTTGTTATATATGCCAGTAAGAAATGGTGCCAATTGTTTTTAACTGACCCCTATTTTTGACTCTGTGAGTCTAATTTAATTGAACATGAAATCATGCGGAGGTTTCTGCCCACCTTCTAGACATTTTAAAAAGCACTAGGAAAGGAACCTCAGTTCTAATACCAGTTTTATCATTATTATGAAGTTGGTGTATCATCAGCTTTGAGTGTTGTCATCAGATTATGTCACCCACTCGTAATTGTTGTCATCTACTGACAGTTGCTTCAGTTTTTGATTGGTTCTTGTTCACTGTCGCTCTGTGTAGCACTACTTGTCTTAATTCTTGGCAATTACAATATTCTCATAGAGGATTCCTCCAGTTTCCTTGGCTCTCAGTTCTTGACCTTCTCTCCTCCAGTATTACCTTATGTATGATAGTGATCTAAGGTATGATCAAGTGGTTACATCAGTGGTTCTCAACTTGGGGGCGATTTTTCAATGTCTGGAAACATTTTTGATTCTCACAACTGGGGGGCTTGTATTACAGGCATCTCGTGAGTGGGCAGAGGCCATGAATGCTGCTAAACATAATACAGTGCACAGGACAGCCCGTGACAACAAGGAATTATCTGGTCCGAAATGTCAGAATGCAGAGAATAAGAATCTTTTCCTAGTCCTTATCATTACCAAAATTGCATTCTTCCCATAATCTCTGTCTTAAACATTTCACTTCTTGATTACTACTGCCTGTCTTTCTAGCCCAATCCCTGTAGAATCCCTACTCCAACAATTCTTTACTCCTACCAATACCTCCAGTCTGTTCATCTTCATCTTTTCCCACTCCTCTTCTTATCCATCTTAAATTCCATTATTGATCCTTATAATTATTCCCTTGTATCTTCCTCCCTTCTCCCTTTCTTGCAAAACCAACCTTGTGTAAGTCCAATTATCCACCTACTATGTACCCACATCCATGTGGCTGTATATCGATGGAGCAGAACACAACTTTGTCGACTAATTCCACTTTAAATTCATGACCATGAAGCTCAAGGAGAACTTCAGTGCGGACAGGCAATTGCACTGTCTGTCTGTTCCAAGTTCATTCATACTTTCCTGGATGACCATTTTAACACTTTCTCATGCTTTCTCAAAACCCCAAACCTCTTCTCCTATCCTCACTTTTAGTTGATGACTTTGCCTCATACTCCACCAAGGAAACTGAAATAATAGGAAAACAACTTCCACAGACTCCCGTTGTCTATCAACCCACCCACCAGCATCAACACCCACATACTCTGCTTGCCTGTCTGACTTTTACCACAGATGGACCATCCATGTTCCTTTCTAAATGGAACCCCTTTACTGGTATGCTGGATCCCATCCTGTCTCACCTACTCCAGTATATCATTGTAGTTATTCTACCCTCTTTGTCTTATATCATCAAATTTTCACTCTCTACTGGATCATTTCCATCAGAGTATAAACACCATTATTTCTCCCTTCTTAAAAAAAGCAAACGAAAACAAATAATTATACTTGCCCTACTACCTTCTCACCTGTATTAGTTCGTTTTTGTTGCTTATAACACAATACTTCAAACTGGGTAATTTATAAAGAAAACAAAATTTATTGCTTATCGTTTCTGAAGGTGGGAAGTCCAAAGTGCATCTGGTGGTGGCAACAGTGACCCAGGAGTCTCACATTGCAAGATGGTGGAAGCAGAGAGAGCAGAGAAAGAGACAGACAGACTCCTCTTCTTTTAAAGCCCTCAGAACCACATCCCTGACCACCATTTTTAATCCATTCACTAGTGCACGTCCTACAATCCAAACACCCCTTCAGAGCCCTACCTTTCAATTACTGTAATAGGATTTCCCACCCTCTTAACAGTCACACTAGGGGCCAAGTTTCTTTTTTTTTAAAGATGACCGGTAAGGGGATCTGAACCCTTGGCTTGGTGTTGTCAGCACCACACTCAGCCAGTGAGCAAACCAGCCATCCCTATATAGGATCCGAACCCGTGGCCTTGGTGTTATCAGCACCTCACTCTACCGGGTGAGCCACGGGCCAGCCTGGGGCCAAGTTTCTATACATAAAACTTGGGGGATGGACACAATTCAAGTTCCACTGAGTTTTGGGGGGACGTAACTCAATCCATTGCATTCTGCCCCAGCCCCCCCACCCCAAGCTCATGTCCTTTTCACATGCAAATACATTCATTTCATCCCTAAAGCCTTGTTTCAACTAAAAACTCCAAAGTTCAGGGGCCGGCCTGTGGCTCACCTGGGAGAGTGTGGTGCTGATAACACCAAAGCCACAGGTTTGGATCCCTATATAGGGATGACCAGTTAGCTCATTTGGGAGAGTGTGGTGCTGACAATCCCAAGTCAAGGGTTAAGATCCCCTTACCAGTCATCTTTTGAAAAAAAAAATAAATAAAATAATAAAATAAAAACTCCAAAGTTCAAAGTCCTATCTGTGAAATCAATATAAGTCATCTACTTCCAAGATACAATGGTGGGACAAGCATAGGGTATATATTTCCATTCCAAAAGGGAGAAATAGGCCAAAAGAAAGGTGTAACAGGTCCTAAGCAAGTCTGAAACCCAGCAGGGCAAGCATTAAGTCTGAAAGCTGGCAAATTGTGTACTTTGACTCCGTGTTCCACCTCCTCCACATGCTGGTGTGGGGGTTGGGTCCCCAAATTCTTGGGCAGCTCTGCTTCTGTGGCTTTCCTGACCTTAGGCTACACTTCAGCTCTCTCAGGCTGGTGTTCCACTCCGGTAGCTCCACAGGTCTGGGGTCTCCATGGCGGTCCCTTTCTCATGGCTTCACTAGGCATGGCACTGTTAGGGTTTCTCTGCTGCAGCTATGACCCCATGTTTCTGCTTAGCATTGCTCTAGTGAAGACTATGTGGTGAATACGCTCCTACGGCAGATCTCTTCCTGGGCTCCCAGGCTTTTCCATATGTTCTTTGAAATCGTTATGGAGGATCCCAAGTCTTCACAGCTCTGGCATTCTGCAAGCCTGCAGAACTAACACCACATGGATACCACCAAGGCTTCCAGCTTGTATTTTCCAAAGCTGCATGTCCAGTCAATTTACCCACAGCTGGAGTAGCCAAAGCAGCTGGGGGTACTGGTGCTGGAAGCAGCTTCCCAAAGTGGTCCTGGGCATTGAGTCCCTGGAGGGCTCCTCAAGCCTGTTCCCCAAGACCATTCTGTCTCCCTAGGTCTTTGGGCCAGAAATGGAAGAGTTGGCCCCAGAGGCTTTTGCAGTGCCTTCAGGGCCTTTTTCTCCTTCTCTTGATAATCCCTTTCCTTTGTACTAATTTTCTTAGCTAATGGTTACTGGGCTGCACCACTGCATGCTCTCTGCTTCTCTACCACATGGCCAGGCTGCACATTTTCCAAATCTTTATGCTCTGCTTCCCTTTTAAATTCTGGCTTTATGTCATGCCTTTGCCACCATAACTCAGAGTAGGCTGTTGCAAGTAGCCATGCAGCTTCCTTAATACTTTGCTGCTTAGAAATTTCTTCCAGCAGATACTCTGGTTCACAACACCT